CAGCCGACAACAACATTATAACCTTGACCAAAATTATTTTTTCCCTGACTCTTGTATCAAAAGCATAGAAAGAAAATAATAAGTTTAATTAAGAGAATTTTCCGGACATCAAACAGCGAAATCTTGACGCAATTATCCTCGTGCTGTGCGCGGTTTAAAGCTTCGTGTTTAACGGTGAATTGCGCAACTTTTCGAATAGTTTGCGAAGCTCTCCGACCGCCGACCGCCGCCGACAAGCGTCGCTTACGCGGCGAAAAGCTTTTTAAGACTTTTCGACAAGACAAACTTCAGCGAAACGTAAAGTCTCCGCCGTCCCCACTTCCAGTGGCGCTAACCCGCCAACCAGCGCGAGCTTCCTGTCAGTTTCCTGTCCTTTTTCTTGCTTCAATAATTTTTGGAAAGCATACACTGCTGTTGTTGCCAGCAAGCATTCGCACAAAAAGTCCATTACGTAATTGAAATACGCTCTCAATGAATCAAAATTTAATTTCTAAATATAGATCAAATGAATTTTTATTTCTTCGCAGCGAAATATCGCGCGTAAAGACAAAGTCCTTTCATTCTGCTTTGAACATCCGTCGCATTGAACTTGTCGACGCACACAAAGCGCACGTCAAGGAAATTGAAATAGAAATGGAAATGAAAATGAAAATCGAAATCTAACACGACGATTAACACGTGTCAAACGTCCTGTCAAAAAGCCCGGGTGGTATTTTTGCGTTTTCATAACGGAAATTACAAAAGCCTACCATTCAAACATCTTAATATAATAGACTAGCTTTTGCCCGCGACTTGGTCCCGGTTGTGTTTAATAAAAATGTAATTCGTATTTACTCTCTTGTTCTAGACATAGTATGTGTCAATTCTATCAATAAGATTCGCTATTGACGTGATAACGTCTTTAAAATCGTTTTAGTCGGGTGACATGTTCAGAAACTTGTGTCACGAGGCCTCCGATCGCAGGTATAACGAGAGAGAGAGAGACGGACCGATCTCCCGTCCCATCTCGAGCGCTGCCAGTCATTCCGTGAAACTTGACACGCGGAATCCACACGAGCGGAGGCAGGCATAGTGTTCGAGTGAGTGGACCGATTTTCCGTCTCTCTCACTCTAGCGGCATACAAACGAATGGAGATTTTCTCGTGCGGTTAAGTTTTCGTTGAATATTTAACAGTGAAACAAAATGTGAAGTGCAAGTGAAGTGTTACAACAATTGCAACAAAAAAAACTTATATCACCAATAAGACGTTATCACGTAAACATCTCGATCGTAAACCTACTTTACAAACAACCATTTTTTTTATTTTAAAGAAATTAATTATATATAGAATTGCTAATAATGCACTTCAGCGTGCCATCTCGGATTCAATTATTTAACTATAACTTGGATTGAATCTCAATGCCAATTTTTTTCCTATAGAAAAGAGCTGTCTTTCGGGTTTTCCTGTCAATTTTATGAATTTTTCTCGCCGTAAAAACCATCCTTGGCCTTCAACGAACAATTTAAAAAAAGAATTGGCCAAATTGGTCTAGGCGTTATTGAGTTATGCGCTTTCCAACAGATTTTTATATTATAGATAATACATCCGTGTTCCATGATACACATGATAATACGCAAGGATAATGTTCGTGCTGCAAGGGAATTCACCTTCATGTTCGACGTAATTGATTCCGACAACAAGGAAATTAATTGCGCCGCACTAGTTTACAAACTTGGCTTAAAAGATGAGACGTGTCGAGGTTAATTACTCAATGTGTCGAGTTTCGCGTAGTTTGAAAACCGGAAACGCGATGTTACCGAAAACTTGTTGTTTGGTAGTAATTTTGCAAACGTTTTTAATGTGTATATTTCAGTTTGGGGGTAAACTTTCGCATTAAAACGTCAGTGGGCAACAGCTGCGCGGTGATAAATTCAATTAACATAAAAGTTGTAAAACTTCCGCCTGGCTCGACCGCATATTAGTTTCGTAAACTGCTTTTCCACCGCATTAGCTACAGGCTGAAGCAACATGCTCAATTTTCATCCTGTAACTTTGTTTGCAAAAGTTAAAAACGCAGTTTATCATTTCACATACGAGTACCTCTAGCAACTTGTACTGCATAAAACAAATCCTAACTAATATGATAATTTTAATAAATGTGAGTTAATTTGTTGGTTTGTTATCATTTTACGTAAAAACCATTGAGTCAATTTTGATAAATATTGGGATAAATGAAAATAAAATAGGCTACTCATATCTATAATATACAAATGAATCGTATAATCTGTTAGTAAGCGCATAACTCAACAACGCCTAGATCCATTTGGATAATTATTTTTTTTTAAATGTTTGTTAAAGTCCAAGGATAGTTTCTACGGCGAGAAAAATTCGATTATTTGCCGGAAAAACTCTAAAGACAGCCCTTTTCTATAGGATAAAAGTTGGCATTGAGATTCAATCATAGTTATAGTTAAATAGTCGAATCCGAGGTGGCGCGCTGAAGTGCATTATTAGCAATTCTTTATATAATTAATTTCTTTAAAATAAAATTGCAAGGGAGTAAAAACGAATAACATTTTTATTAAACCCTACCGGGACGAAGTCGCGGACAAAAGCTATTGTTGTATAAATATAATTTTTTAGTTCCATCTTTAAAACCGCAGTTTTAGACAGAAAAAGTGGTACTTTTAACACGGACAGCCAAGGCCGTGACTAAAGTACTTTACTCACGTGACGCTGATACCTGCAAACGACTCCAACGACGAAATTATTCCCAACTAATGAATTTAGCTATTGTTTTTTAAATCTATGCGAAATGTTAAGTAATAAATTTTATTGAAAGTAAATTAACTACGTTCAAAATGCATTCCACACGCGATTTCATAAATTTGCATTTTTGACTGCATTAACAAGAATTTTATTACTTCACCACCACCACAATTTAAACGTCATAAGTATTTAGAACAATGTACAATATGTATATTAAATTTTACTGTTGGGGTTGTAACATTCTGTTTGGGAATGTAATGTATGCGAGTATTCCAGACACTCGAGGACCTCGCGGTGCGGTATTTAGCACACCCGCATTAACTCTAAAACGCAATTTATTAGTGGTTGTTCGCTTAGTTTTGTGCCGGTATTGTGTTTGTGTTAATGTTCAGGGTGCAGCCGAGAGTATTAGCAACAAATGATGCTATAATTTATTGCGTAATGGCCGTTTGATAATAGAGGCGCTATAGCAATGCGACCCTTCGACAGTCACGCAAGGAAAAAAATCGAACCTCGCCGCGCCTTCAAGCTTTCCAACTCCCAACAAGGCGATTGGACATAATGACACACAATGCGCTGAAAGCCCTAACCGAAAAGCATTAACCCATTTTACCAACACTTTATTGAGGAGGACTTACGAGTGAAGAAAAAAAAAAGACATCGCACGCATTGTTATGACTTATAAAGTCAATTCTATTAAGATGTCTGAAGATATCATGCTGAGTTATTGACAAAAGTGTCAAATCAACTTTTATACACGATAGTGAATAATGATCGGGTGGTTCCTTTGATGTAGATAACACCCTAGGGCACAGTTTGAATGAAACTCAGTCGACTCGGTCAACTCGGCGCGGCCGTCCATGAATAATTGCAATTAATATCGTGCCGTTGGCAAAATCAATATGGACATTAAACACGAATAGCGAACTTGGCAGTATTTACAATTATACCGCAAATTATAACACAACATGAATTTTATATAAAAAAAACTAACTTTTACTCACCACTTCGTTCCGGTAGTGTTTAATAAAAATGCAATTCGATTTTACTCTCTTGTTCAAGAAATAGTATGTGTCAATTCTATCAATAAGATTCGCAATTTTATTTTAAAGAAATTAATTATATAAAGAATTGCTAATAATGCACTTCAGCGCGCCATCTCGGATTCAACTATTTAACTATAACTATGATTAAATGCACTACTTTTATACTATAGAAAAGAGCTGTTTTTAGGGTTTTCCTGGGAAATATTCGTATTTTTCTCGACGTAAAATCCATCCTTGGACTTCGACGAACATTTTAAAACAAAAATTGTCCAAATTACCAACAGATTTTGCGATTCATTTTTATATTATAGATTATTCAAAAAATATTATATAAAAAATTATCTCGAAAACAGTTCAAAGAACACCGGAAGATTAATTTACTTGCGGAAATGACTTACTTTTTTCGAATGCTTGTCTATATAAATCAGGATAAAGACTATCTCAACGTATGTATGAGTATTCGCAGAAGACGACCTTATTATAACCATCAAGCAGAAATAATGGCGAAGGAAATTCGCAAAAAAATCCCTTTTTATATCGTTTCATCCCAGAATATCGGTAGATTCAGGAAGATTCAATCAAAATGTTTCTTTTTTTTTCACTGCTGAATTCGATCTCGAGCAAAAAATATATCGAATTTCGCACAAAAACAAAACAAGATCGAAGAAAACACGAGAACGTCGAAATGTTTTCCGAAGTGAGTTTATTTGATAATGTAGATGATGTGGATTATGTCAATTATGTAAATTTTCATTGAGTTTTCATCGAGTTGACGCTGACGTGTCGAATTTGAATGCGAATTCAAGTCGGAACTTTTCGCTTCAACTTTGACTTCACAAACTCATTGTAACTTTCCACTTTTGACTTCCTCGATTCCAAATTGACTTCGCGAATAAAACAAAACGACTCACATGATTCCTGTTGAAGCTAATTCAATTTGTATGTATTTTTTTTAAATCACTTTTTAAAAACGTTAAAATTTTATCTGGAGTTATCTGGAGTAGGTACTTTCTCGTTCCTAATTGTTTACATGTTTCGAAGTGGCAGGTTTAAATTATGCAGTTTCGTGTTGCGCGACGTGACGCATAAATTGAAAGCGTCGAGATTGCTTTCGCTGCGCTTTTCGCGAAGCGCTTCCACAAAATACCGCTACCGCTGCACACTCATACTCAAAGACACTGCGAAAGGTGTGGGACATGCTTACCTGTAGGTTATGAAGGCGAAGACAAGCCCGACCAGTGAAATGCTGCTGCCGAGCACGATGAGAAGGCTCAGGACGCTCTCCTCGGAGAGCGCCGGCTCCATACCGGAACGCGTCAGGTTGGGAAAACCGTGCAAACGGGCTGTGTATAAAGTTTCCATGCTGATGCTGATTCCACGCACTTATATACCTTTCAACGGCACCTGCAATAGGAAATATTCATATATATTATTTCATTTGAATTACAAATGAATAAATAATATAAAAATGAATCGCAAAATCTGTTGGTAAGCGCATAACTCAACAATGCCCAGGCTAGTTTGGTCAATTCTTTTTTTTAAAAGTTCGTTAAAGTCCAATGATGGTTTTTACGGTGAGAAAAATTCGAATAATTGCCGAGAAAACCCTAAAGACAGCCCTTTTCTATAGGATAAAAGTTGACATTGAGATTCAATCATAGCTATAGTTAAATAGTTGAATCCGAGATGGCGCGCTGAAGTGCATTATTAGCAATTCTTTATATAATTAATTTCTTTAAAATGAAATTGCAAATCTTATTGATAGAATTGACACATACAATGTCTAGAACAAGAGAGTAAATATATTGTTTTTGTATCGCACTGTATGCGTAAAAGTGTGGTTATGTTGGTTGAAAGTTTAAAAACAGTATACACGATGAATGTGGGTTCGTTCGCGCGTGTTTTACGACTTGCGCTTGGAGTTTTCCCATTTTCTCGTTGTTTCCGAGCGTCCATTCTCAAATTGGCGAAATTGGGGAAAGGTTTAATCGCTTTCACCTTGTGGCCCCTTACTCAATTTACTCCACTGTGGGCGCAGTGGATATTTTACGACATTTTTTTTTGCTTTTGCTGGTTTTTCTTTCTTTTTAATTTTGTCTGTTTCTTGCACTTTTATGGGTTCTTTTTTGTTTCATTTTTTATTCTTGGTTAGGTTTTGATTAAACTGAAAGACGTAATAAAATCTATATTTGTTTGTGGCATAAAGAAAATCGTGTTAGTTAGGGCATTTATAACTCAAGAACGGTTAGAGAGATTTTGATGATCCACGATTTTTTTGATTCGTTTCTTCCTCGAATAACAGAATAAGTATTAAAATATTAAATATTATTACTCAAAAGGTGTTAAATATATGATGAAAAATAATATAAAAATTGAAGCATAACTTGGATCCAAGAATGTAAAAATTATTTACATTTTTACTAAAACACAAAGCCAAAGTCGCGGGTAAAAATTAGTTCATAATCTATAGTATAAAAATGAATTGCAAAATTTGTTGGTAAGCGCATAACTAAACAACGCCTAGACCAATTTGGCCAATTCTTTTTTTTAAATGTTCGTTAAAGTCCAATGATGGTTTTTATGGCGAGAAAAATTTGAATAATTGCCGGGAAAACCTTTAAAAAAACCTTTTCTATGGAATAAAAGTTGGCATTGAGATTCAATCATAGTTATAGTTAAATAGTTGAATCCGAGATGGCGCGCTGAAGTTTTAGCAATTCTTTAATTAATTTCTTTAAAATATAATTGCGAATCTTATTGATTGAATTGACACGTACTATGTCTAGAACAAGAGAGTAAAAACGAATAACAATAACATCTGCTACCGAGTCGAAGTCGCAGGAAAAAAAACTACTTGATTAATATGTTTCCTAAAGAAAATATATGATTGTTCCAATTAATTCCAAGTTAAACCGAAGACAAGGCAAAAAACGAAGTAGAAAATTTAATGGATATTCAAGTCTTGAGTTTATAAAGATTTGCCTAATTGGAGGAAATGATTGCGGCTGCGACACACAATTTTCAGAATAATAAATATTAAGGTGGTGGTAGTGATGGTGTTGGAGAGGGTGGTGTGGTAGCGAATCGGGATCAAGTGATTAAACCGAGTCTCCAGCAGACAGTACACCGGAGCGCAAACTCTGGTGGCTGGAGGCACGACCCTTTTGAACTCATCATCATCCCACCAATTTTCTTTTATTGATTTTCATAATTGGAACGACTCGTTACCGCGACGAAGACCACCGCATCAAACGAGCGTTAAGCACGACCGGGGAATTTAGAAATGCAGATCCGTGCCGGTTCATTATTTTCTTTCGCCAACGGTGGCGCAAAAATATATAACGAGAGGCTTAAGCGTCCAATGCAATTTGCATATTTAATTGCGACAATAAAGAAACAGGAGCAGATAAAATGTAAATATTGTTGAATAACATTCTGAAACTCGCGAAGATAAATATTTGCGAATGCTATGGACAATTAACAATGTTTTAAATGTGATTAAGGTTTAGATATGTATATAAATTTATTAGGAAATAGCTGGCTTGGTAAAATTAATATTCACTCCTTCATAAAGCAGTATTCAATTAATTAAAAATTGCTAAAATTGTTTATGTGTTTCAATTTTTGAGATTTTTTTGTTGCAAGTTGATTTATAATTTATATGTTACATTTGACATATCTCGTTGTAGTGACATGTTATAAATGCAAATGGAAATTTGTTTGTTTGTTACTTTTTCACGCAAAAATTCCTGAATCGATTTAAAAAAAACTTTTTCTACTTTCACCACTAAACCGCCAGTTTAGAGGTTTTTAAACAAAAAAACGGTACTTTATGTACGGACATCCAAGTCGTGAGTGAAGTACTTTATCTACGGGCATTATCAACGGGGCGGAGCTTACATCTGCGCATTTGCCTACGGTGAAGCAACAAGAAAAGAAACCAAATCATTAATTAAGGTAATTTTTATACGCCTCCAAAGTTGCGGGCAAAAGACTTGGCTTATTATATAAAAATGAATCTCAAAATCTGTTGGTAAGCGCATAACTCAACAACACCTAGCTCAATTTGGCCAATTCTTTTTTAAAATGTTTGTTAAAGTCCAAGGATGGTTTTTACGGCAAGAAAATTTGAATAATTGCTGGAAAAACCCTAAAGACAGCGCTTTTCTGTAGGATAAAAGTTGACAATGTGATTCAATCATAGTTATAGTTAAATAGTTGAATCCGAGATGGCGCGCTAGAGTGCATTATTAGCAATTCTTTATATAATTAATTTCTTTAAAATAAAATTGCGAATCTAATTAATAGAATTGACACATGCTATGTCTAGAACAAGAGATTAAAAACGAATTACATTTATATTAAACACTCCCGGGACATAGTCCCGGGCAAAAGCTAGTATAATATATAAACATACATGAGAATAAATAAAAACTTTAGTTTAAATTCTATTAATTATTGAAGAATTTCATCAGGTCACTAGCAGAGGCCATCAAATATTAAACGTTTCAATATTGCAAATTATTAATTATTCACTTTGCGTTTCACATGACTAATTTCATGGCATTGCAAATTATCGCTTTGTTAATAAATAGAACAAACATATTCCATTCTCTATTTATATTTGTTCTTATCATAAATACGCCTATGCAACCTAATACCAGCATGACTTCACAATTATCTAAATTTTCATCAAAATAAACATTTCAAATATAAATACACTCTACTCTTGTTGTTACCCAAGTTACACACGAAACGTACTTGACCGTCAATCGCGCAGTGTATAATTATCTCCACACAAGCCGGTTGTGATGTGGTACTCGTAAATACCACTTTTTATAACGAACAACGAACCACAATGGTCAAGTTGTAATAAAGGAAGTCATAACACAGTCTAACGTTGTAGCATCAACATCGTAATCACATCGTTACGCATACAAGAATAAAACAAAATAAAGTAATCTTATCTTAGACTTTGATCCGTATAACATCTTAATGATTAACATAACAATGTTTAACTAAGTTACATCACCGAGTCTAAGTTTAATTCATTGTACATTCGCGAGTGTAAAGTTAAAGGCCAAACAAGTTCACAAATTCAAAAACTAACCGAAAACTAAAACTACAATGTCTTCGGATAGTTTAGACGAATCCGCACTGAAAAAAATCTTAACCTCTAAATTAAACCATGAAGATTTCGTGCTTAAACAATTTAAAATGGTGTTACTTCATGCCGATGGAATGATGGGTGAACATTTCCGACTTTTATGCGAAATCGAAGAAAATTCAACGATAAAATCCCATGCATTTTTCGTAAAGAAACAAGCACCGTTCGAGGCATATGGAGAACTACCATCACTAGTCTTCAATAAAGAGAAGGCGACCTTCGATATGTTTAAAACCATCAATTTCCAACAGATGAATGACTCACTACCGAATGTCTATTACACTGATGATAAACACATTGTTTTTGAAGATTTAACAGATGAAGATTATGTGATTCAAACACCGGCAAGAGTTTCAACTGATGAAGAACTATGTGTTATTTTGGATAGTTTGGCTGCCATCCATGCTGGATGTATTGCGTATGAAAACAAACACGAAATCAAGCTGAACGAAGCATTTCCTGACGCGGTTATTGAGTTGTACTTAAAGAGTCGCCATGAACTGTTGATGAAATACTACGGGGCAATTATCAAAAGCCTTCACACGGGAATAAAAGTATTTAATCTGCCAACAGTTCTCAAAAGTGGAAGAAAACTCGAAGATGAAGTTGAACGATTTATGGATTTACTTAATGGTTATGTAAAACCTTCAACAAAATTTCGAAACTCAATATGTCATTGTGATTTGTGGCCTGCGAATATTTTTATTAAGTATAATAAAAATGTTGCACAACATGCGAAAATAATTGATCATCAAATTGCACGATATTTACCACCGGCTTTTGATGTTCTGGACTGTATTTTACTCAACACTTCACGAGAATATCGAAAGGAGCATCTTTTGAGATTGAAAAAGTGCTATTTTGATTGTTTTACTAAATATTTGAAAGAATTTGGAGTTGTGCCAAGTGAGATTTATACGTTGGATGAGTTTTTGGAAAGTTTTAAAGAGGTGGAAATGTTTGCGGTTTTTATGAGCTTGGCGACAATTCCGTTGGTTTATAATGTTAATCGCAGTCTGGGGAATCTTGTCGAGTCGGAAGCAAAAGACGACATTCTTTTGGATGACAGAAGTCCATTGATTACGAATTTCTTGGATAATGAATATTTAATGGGGAGGATTAAGGGAGCCATGTTGGACATGGTGGATTATTTTGAAAATAATTAATATGTTTATAAGAAATTTTTAGTGTTAGGTTATTGTTTAGTTGTAGAAAGACAAATTGTGAGATTTATACATAGGTATAACAAATTTATGTTTAAATAATATTATATAAATTTTATTAATATTTTAAGTGAATAAATAAATAGTTTATTTTGTTGATCAGTTTTTATTAATTTTTTTTATTTCTGCCATTCATTCGTTTTATTCTCCGTTAAATTATGATTAAATAAGTTTTGAATATTTCTTTGTCGTAACGAGTATAGTTAATATTTGTTTCAAGTAAAAGTACAAGTAAATTTTTGTATACATAGTTCAAATATTCAAATATTCGCCTCGTTATGGAGAAAGCTATTACGTTATCTTATCATGGTTTTACATGTTTTGCAAATTAAACAATTAAATATTTGTTTTGTTTAAGTAGTATGCAATAATATACAATATACAAGTCATGCTTAAATTATTATACTTCAATTACAGATTAGTGAAATGTACTTGATAGAAAAATGCAGTTAGGCACGGTGTTAGTAGAAAAAAAAATTAAATATAATGGCCGATTCATATAATTACATGCTTTTGCCTATACCTACATGAATAAGGTGACCTTCAATATGTTCAAAGCCATCAATCTTTACCTGATGAATTACTCATTATGGAACATGTTTTATTCCGATGATAAACACCTTATTTTGGATGACTTGACAGAAATAGGCTATGAAAGTCAATGATGAACGTTAGGAATTCCTCCTGAGAAGCAAAGATTAGAATAATTATGAACATAATTCAATGTTAAATGACTTTCCGGAAGAAAATATTTTATTGCCTAGATTTGATTATTATTTTGATATATTTTTTATTGGCTATTGGCTTTCCGCCCGCGCAGTTTTTAATAAAAGTAAGTGGTGCATGTTATTAATGCATTATTTTTTGTTTACGGTATACACATCCCATAGGTATTATAACTCTCCATTTCTATTTCAAAAAATGACAAAATTTATTATTATAATTATTGTCACGAAATGAATTTTTATCCAAAAAGTTTATTTTGGGATTTTTTTTATGTCATGAAATATTACTGTTATTTTGGTAATAAAATGGAAATATTTTTTGCATGAAAGCGTAGCAAACAAAAAGACAAACTCATTTTCGCGTATATATAAAGATTTTTTACTTCATATATTCATGTATTCTAACGATATGTAGAAGTTACTTCAAATCGATGGAATGTTTGGTGGGTAATTTTTATGCTCGTGCATGATTGCTAAAACCGCAACCGAAAAACTCATCAAGTTTTTGTGTCGAAAAAAAAACTGGCCGTGCATGGAATACGACAGGCATGCCTCAGACAATCTTCCACTAGCAAGTAACTAGCAATCCTCCCTTACCTTCGACATGTTCACAGTCATCAATCTCCCTACCGTGAACGATTCATTACCGAACTGTTTTTACAGCCAACCTTGAGCACTCAAGTTTTAACAACCTCACCGCTGCTGGCATTGTCATCTAAACGACATCACGCGTCGTAACTGATGATGACGTTTTACTGCTGGAGGTAGCGGATTTGCTGACATTTATTCGGAAGCAATTGTTTTCGAAGGGTAGTAAATAAATACCGCACTGGTTAATTAAAGCAGGAAATTATTTGTACCATTAACAAAGCAATTTAAGTTTTCAACGTGCCATAGTTTTTTGCCAATTTAAAAATGAATAAAAAGATTTTAGTAATGAATAGTAAATAATCCATTGTACCTACTTGACATTGCTGCTGGCTTTTCTTAAAGCAAAAATTTCATAACTTCAAAATCACCCAAAGGTTTTTTTTAATTAATTTTAATATTGAAATAGATCGGATCTTGAAAAAGGATGTTTGCTACCCTTTTTGTTCAGAACAAAACAATAAGGAAGTCAAATAAGTGATAAAAATATGAGAAAGGAATAAATTATAGTTATAGGAGGCACTTATTTATATTAAATTCGGAGAAGAGTTTTTGCCGAATATTCAATCTTGATATTTACATTTTATGCGATACAAAAAGCAAAATGCAAACATTGGTTTTTATTGTATCGACTAACCTTGACTTGCTATCAATAAAATACTGCGCGGAATTCTCTTCACGTATACACTTTCAAAGATGTTTTGAAGAAAATATCTGTTGCACACTTTCTTAATATACTAAGAATTAGTAATTAAATTAGTATCTATTATTGTAACTATGGAAAATCACATATTTTAACCCACTTTATTGGAAAATATTTTACTTTTTTGTTTCAATAACAAAATTTATTTCCAATAATTTCTTATACCATATAAAAAATATAAAAAATAGAACTTCTATTTAGCAAGAAAATCTATATATATAAAATTTGCGTGTCACAGTGTTTGTTTCCATACTCCTCCGAAACGGCTTTACCGATTTTTACCAAATTTTATATGCGTATTCAGTAGGTCTGAGAATCGGCTAACATCTATTTTTCATACCCCTAAGTGATAAGGGTTGTTCACCCTTAACTTTTTTTTAAATTTTTGGACAAATTCTTTTGTTTTTATTTTTTTTATAATGTGGAATTAAAAAATACATACAACCCTAAATTTTTAGTTTTTTATCACCAACCCCTATTTCTTTATAGCCATTTTAGTAATTTAATCATTTTTTATCCCGCTCAAAGAAAATTTTTATATGCGTATTCAGTAGGTCTGAGAATCGGTAACTCCATATCTTTAAGTGATAAGGGTTGTTCACCCTTAATTTTTTTTAAATTTTGGTCGAAATTTTTTGTTTTTATTTTTTTAATGTGGCATTAAAATATACATACAACCCTAAATTTTTGGTTTCTTATCACCAACCCCTATTTTTTATAATAAGTAAGTTACTTTTTGTCTACACTAAAATTTATCTAGAAACTTGAAATAATTTATATGGCAAAACAACGTTTGCCCGGTTAACTAGTAATTTTATAAGATTAAGACATATTCGTGTTCAAAGGAGAAATAAAAACAAGCAGCCTTTTGATGTACCAGGCGATTTTCTGAAGAACATAGCAAAAAATATCTAGATAATCACTATAACATTTTTATGCCTATAACAAAACATGATTCATGCCCAAATCGAAGATATTAGACCTCTTTCGAGATTAATTAAATCAATAAATTATCTGTGTTTGTGATTGAAATTTAATTACCGTAAGAGATACGATTATCGCCCGAATACTACCGATATAGAAAACTGATTGTGCCCCACGGGTGGTCACGCGCGATGATAATGTGCACGGTTCGCAATTATTGTGCACTCGCATCGCTTATTCGATATTATTGCCCGTGATTTGATATTACAATTTGATGGCGCGCGCGATCCGATCCGCGGTTAGCGCGAATATGCCGAATGTACAAAGCGATCAATTAGATACTGAATATTAAACGGCAGGCATTATATATCAGTCGAAACTGGAGATTATAAATGTACGCATGCAAATATGCGTATTATACGTAAATCATGCGTAAATTTATCCAAGGCTGTGATTTTTGAACGTTTCAGCTTTCCCGACGATTAATCATCATTGTTATTGCACAATAAAATTTAATTACTTCAGTGATATTCGTATTTCATCAGGAAAATTCAATATTCACATTCCACAATTATTTGTAATTACCAATAATATTAATTTAGTGAAATAGGAGAATATTCATTAATAATTTATTAAATGTTTATTTTTAGAAATATTTTTTTAAATTTAGCTGTGAGAGTATATTAAGTATCAAGTGGTTAAACAAGGATTTTACTCACAAGAATGATTGAGAGCGAGCAATCGAGTGTTTAACAACGTTTAGTCACGTGATGCTAACGCAATTTTTTCTTCTTCCACGTTGAGGTTTTGAAATTTTAATTTTTGTATTTTAAATCTTCGAAATTTAAGCAAATGCGCTTGCGCACGCTCCGCCCCGTAGATAATGCCCGTAGATAATGGATATTACGCACGGCTTGGCCTTTCGTATTTAAAGTACCACTTTTTATGTCTAAAAACCGTTAAAAAACTGGCGTTTTAGAGGTAAAAGTAGAAAAATATTTTTAATATGTTGGGACGTTGAGATGCTGATGCCACCCGATTCGATTTCGATCGCATTGTGTTCCTGGCGTATATTGCAAAATAGCAAATTGCGTCGCGACGATGATGCCGCAGCCGACGCCGCCAACCTCGCACATTGCTATGGATGGCGTTTTCAATCCATCAATTCATGATTTTGGCGGAGGATACAGGATGCGCGTTTGCATCTTCAAGCACAATAGGACGCGCACCACCTGTGCGTTCAAGAGTGTGCCAACATCTTGAACACGAATGGGAATTGCATGTCAAATAACCAATTAACTTTCACAAAGACAATCAGAAAATCATACGCGCGGAGTTTATTTGATTTGAAAGATGTGCATATGTGAAAATTGATTTTAAAGTGAAATAGAGTTGACAGGATGGCAACAAAGTTCGTGAAAGCTTCAAAGTGAGTGCTTTTCGTTGGCGCAGCCGTCTTTAGGCAAGAATCGTAACGTAACTTTCGTCGACGTTTCCCTGCGCGTTTCCGGCGCGTAATGTCAGTCGGAAAATGTACGAATCGACGTTTTACGACGACGTCTTTGACATTGTTCGTTGAAACTATGACGGCACCATTTGCAACAGACGAGGGTGTGTTTTTTACAGCCACGGTCATAAAAATTCAATCCCAGAGAAAGAAAAGTTTTCCCATTTTTAACAAAATTTAATTATTGGGTATGAAGCGGGAGATTTGCAAACTAATATTATAAGTGTAAATGTGAGTATGTTTGTGACGCTTTCACCCAAAAACTAAAAAACAAATTTGGACAAATTTTGGTTCAGAGATATTTTTATTCATGGAAAAGCAAATAGGCTATTATTATTGTTAAAATATAGTTTACAAGAAGTAAAATAAGGAAAGAAAGTTGATATGGATAAATATGAAAATCCATAGTTATATAATTCAAATCTAGATGGCGCTAAATGCAATTTAAAGTTTTAAACTAAAATCGTATATTAAGCTTTAAAAAACTATATTTATTCTTTTATTTACTTTTTAAACTAGTAACAAATAAAAGTAATATAATAAAATCTAAGGACGAAAGTTTAAACCTGGTGTCGGCGTCGATCCTGCTGTCATGCTGTCAGTCGGCTTAGCATTAATCGCGTATTTACTGCGAAACTCTCAAAGCTCAAAGCCCAATCAAAGACGGGAGATTGCAAGGACACCAACTTCCGTACCGCGTTCGCTCCTCTGTGCGCTCTCCCAGGCTTCCGAATCAAGGAATAAAAAAATTGCGCGTCTGTTTTGTGACCGTAAAACACAGATCAACTTTTAATAACGGTTACCATGCCAACGGCGTCATTTTTCTTCATTTTTAATAAGAAATTGATATAAATGCCGGTAATATTAATCCAATCATAAAAAGTGGGTATAAATATTTAATTAAAAAAATTCACCCCGAGAGCAGACAACGAACATGACAGCTGTGAGCGAAACAAGGTAGGCGTAGAATTTCCAATATTTCTAATTTTTTTTTTGCACGCCGCTTTGTTCCACACCAATCTCAGCGCAGAGCAATCCATCAAAAACACCCATCAGAAAATAATTTCATTTGTAAAGTGTATAAAGCAAACACCGGTTATAGAAAAACACGTATTTGGATCCAAAGCGGTGTGTACCTTTGTAAAAAAGCGGCTGTGCACAGCAGCACGTTTGTTTATGCGACATAAGCGCACGGGCGAAAAAATAATGTTGATACGCGCGTTCCAGAGCGCATAAAGCGCATAAAACGCGCGTAAAACTCGCGGCCGAAGCGCGTTATCGTCGCGCGTAGATTGCTCTCGGGCGAGAATGGCTGAAAAGACAAGCACTCCTTGAGGAGCTCATGATTCCGCCTCGGCGGATTTATGAAAGAGGCAAGCGAGCGTGAAGCATGAAAGTGCCGGGATGAAAAGCGCCACAAACACACAACCCACGCCCGCCCCCCGAAACACATACACAATCACACAATCCAGTAAAGCTAGTACAATTACAGGACAGAGATATAAAACGCTAGAGTATACGACCCCAAGGGTCTGTTGAGGGTGCAAGGGTAGGAAGACAGGACAAGGTTTAATCACGCCGCCTGCGCGGTTATTGGAACATGTTCGCAATGTTGCAACCGTGCGCAGCTTGAGCGGACATCGTTTATTGGTGGTTAATAACATTTTTCTTTCATCTGCAATTTATTTTTCAATTAAACCCACGCAAAAATTAACAAGGATTGTTATTTTAGTCATGTGTACATATTCCGTATGATAATATTATCGTTGTCGTTTTGGTTGCTCTAATAGCGCGTCAAGAATTAAGCAAAATAACATTATGAAAGAAAACATGGTTATTTTTTACCGCAGCCGCCGTCGAATACGTAAAAGGGTTGAAACACGCACAATGGGCGCGAGCCAAGGACGCGAAGGTCATTGAAACGCCATTAATATCGACTTCTGCTATGGCGGTGGCGCATAAATTACGTCATGACAAGCAAACAGGAAAATCGAGGTGAAAAATCTACATTATAATGCAGCACACAATGAAAAAATATAACATTAAATATTAAACATGAAAAAACGATGATGTCCGTTGCTAATGATAACAATTCATGTTTATCAAGATATATATAACTACATAGGCTATTTTTATTTTTATATTTTCTGTTGAAATATGTCATGAAAAGTAATGCTTTTGTAAAATAAATAATCAAATTCAATTTCATTGTTTTATAAATATAATGTTATTCTAAAATTTTATACTTCTGCAGACTGACATGCTTGTTGAAAAACTGCACGTTTTATTCATTATTCATTTCTATCCGTGGACGCAAGAAAATGGACGTGGGTTATATTATATTTTACGTTGTTTTTATTAGTTTTACCGTCTGGTAAACATGCAATACACATTTTTATTTTTTTTATTTAATACTAAATTACGTCCATCTCAAATGACTAATGTTTTGACATGATCTAATTGAGTATTCAGTGTTTGGACATTTGAACATTCTGCCATTAGCACACGCTGCAAATTTCAATTTGTTGATGTAAACAAGAGAATATTGATTAGCAAAAGCGGCGAGCGATAACACCACAGGTAAATATTTTATTAGTGAAACTTTTCAACTTTAAAACTACAAGTTGAATTAATGCAGCGCGAAACTTTTTCTATCCAATTAAATTTAAAAGTTTTTTTAACCGATTCGTAGAACTTAGAAGTTCACCGCGTAGAATTTTTGCATTTAAGTTTTAAGAGCTACTAGAAGTTTATTTAAATTGATAATGTTATCAAAGCGTGCATGGCAACAAAACTTTTGAGTTGTTTATGGTTTGAATAAATAAAAGTACCTATAGTGATTGTTACATTTTAGTTGTTTGCGCTCCTGTTTGACTTTCGCTGGAAATTTTAATAATAAAAATTTTCTATCTACGACAAAACTTTGCCACCAATATCCATAATCCGCATCATGCGCGTCCCGGCGTTCGTAAACAAAGAAAAAGTTGTCAAACTTTCCTCGAAACTTTCAAAAACTTTGATACTTTCCTAATCTTTGCGACTAATAAAATTCCACGAACAACCACCGTGACATGGAGAGTTTTATGAAACGATCATTGAAATAAGTTCAGCTTACCATGCGGATAATGATGCAAACTTTCCAAATTCCCAATGTCCCAATATTTAATCACAAAATTTATTTGTTTTTTATTATTTTGATTTGAGTTGCGGTAAATTAATTTGAAAAATTAAAACACACACGTGTTTTTGTGGTTGCGGTTGTTCGCAAGATACGTGCGTGGTAGCTGTGACCGTTCAGGACGAGCGTCGCGACGCCACTGCGAGTCGGAACGCGCGCGCCGCTCCAAATTGGACGTTGAGTTTCCACAGCGAAAAAAGGTGACGCCTGCGTCGCTTTGAGCGCGCGCTTCATTAAGCCCACACGCCGATGGGACATCAGACACAAGGCTGATGAAAAAAAAACCCTGCCGTATTACTAACCCCCATCTACCAACACCTTCCACTTTTCTACCTCTTTCCTTTGGAGTAGAGGATTTTTTTTATTGCGGGAGCAAGAAGGAAGTAATGGGTGGGTACAGTTGAAAGGCGTAAAAAGGGAAACCTTTTACTGATGCAGGTAGCCGTGGTGCTGCTCATCGCATCAACATCAGAGTCAGCATTACAGAAGTAAAGGGCAAAGGAAATATAAGGGTATGTATTCGTTTACCAAAGAAATCAACTGTTTGTGCAAAGTTTTCGAATGAAACTTGAAAACCGTAATTTTCAAATTTTCATTCCCAAGAGTATTTAGCAAACAATTATTGTTTGTCTGACGTTCACCCAATATTTGTTAATTACCGCACATAAAACATGAGTAATGTTTATATTGTTCATAATTTTCCTGCGCGTGTTTGTTTATCGACATTTTCACGGTTCGTTAAGTTAATGAAAACAACCCACACTCAAAACAAATAAAAAATATGTAAAAATTTATAATGCCTATAAATTGTAATGAATTGCGGATGCGAGACACATTTGTTGAGTGTGCATTGTTGGAAGCGAAACAAATTGCGGACACTCACAAAAGACGAGGTAATTTTACGAGTTTACATCGCGTTCCGAAACTTGCTTGGATCAACGCCAGTGTTAAATGTATTGTGCAAACGCAATAAACTCAAGAACTCGGAGAGTGGAGAAGTTACGAACTCATGTGGTAGCCAAGAGGGTGGAAAGACCATAGACCTAGAACGAAACCAGAACGAGGAACCTGTGTGCGGTGGGTGGCAGCAATTGATTGATTTTCACACACAAAAGCACTCGAGATATTTCTTGCATTAAAAAATAAATTGATAAAAATCACTCGCAGATGTTTCGGGGATATAGCGGAGTTGGTGAAAATTGTATCAAGTCAAATTTTCCGATCATAAATAATAACTCAGCCATTCCGCTTGTCGCGCATTTGATCCGCACAATAAATTCTGATGAGGAAGTCATCCGGAAAGCCAAATAATCCGCGAGGCAGGAAATAAACCACATACACATCACAACAGCCGCGCGTGCTCTGAATTGGTTTGTGGGATGAAACGAAAAATGCCTGCATTCAAATGCCAGCGCAAATCAATTGCCAGAAAAATGCCACTGGCACACAATCGGTCTTTTATTAATATGGACACTATCAGGGTAAATGCTGCGGCGGGCTCTTCTTGAAGGGTTTTCTTTTCTTAGAGATGGGTTGAAGAGTGGGTGTGATTGTGTGGCTGGAGGGTTGGCAATGCATCAAAAGTGCGCCTCTGCGGTTCTATTATGGTTGAAAAATCATGTCACGCTCGTGGGTCATGTTCATGTCAAAACGCGTGATGGCATTCGCATCTGCAGCCGCCATTTGCTGAATGACGAGACGGGAAAATGGTGAAAATTGAGAAAAGCCGCAATGATGACACAATAATCCTCAAAATAAAAATCGATAGCCGATTTTAAGTAATGTTGATTTGAATTGACGTATAAAATACATTTACAGCACTTTTGACGCAGGAAAGTAATATTTTTTTCTATTTTTAGCATATTCCAACCTGCAACTGTAACTGTTGGTTTGGTTGACTTGTTGGCTTCGAAGCGGGTTAACGTGGTGAATTAATGTGATGCCGCATTGATGCCGTCGCACCATCGTTTGGAAACGTTTCACTGGTCGAGCTGAGGCGTGCTTCCTGTACCCGAGAGGAAAAAAGTGGCAATAAATATTCCCTTTCATCCGACGGCTAAGTGCCATCAGCGGCGTTGGCCCCGTTGGCCCTTTTGCCACCCAGGCGGCATAGCGTTGCTATTCCGGCCTGCAGGGACGCTACAGACCCTAGAAGAACCTAGAGCGGACCGATAAAACTGTCCAGGAGCAAATTTATTTGATTGAGCGTCGTCGAAGTTTGCGACCATTTGCGAAAACTAACTACTCTATATAACATAAAACAAGATTTTGAATTTTTAAGTTTTTAAGGATTTGTCAGCACATGGGAAAATTCTGCACTAATGAGATCTCTAAGGGCTACTTTACTAGATTTTTTTATATTAAAAAAAAGACAAGAAAAAAGGTCTCAATTTCAGCATGGTAACGATCATGGAACGATACGTGTGGCGCAATGATGACGATGCTGATACTCTGATACAATTTCGACATGTGAGCAATAACGAGCAACGGGATATTCGAGCATCCATTTATCTTTTTAGATTTCCCGAGTGTGATACCCTCGAAACTACGAGTGATACCTAGATTTGGTACAAAGAGCGAAATCAGAACAAAAAAACTGTAACTGAAACACTCCGGTTCTTTTTTTTCTTTCGCGCTAACAATAATATAATATCCGTTCAGTATTGCTCTGGTATCAAATTACACAATTTGCACCACAATCACATTCTTAGAAGAAATATACCTACAATATCGCCCTTGCGTTATTGATATTCTGTCGGTGTAAAGCAATTTGTCCTGCTTGTCGGAAAATTTCATTGCAAACAGGTTGCAATTTCTAGGATAAACAATTATAAACAAATATATGAATTTCTATTTCTTTAATATTTTCAAAACAATCAATAGGAAACCTTGTTGATTCTAGTATGGACGATGCTATTTAAATTAGTTTATTGCTCTCGACACATACTTGTAAACATATGAGAAGTATCATCAACTACGTACAAAATATTCTCGTTTTTCACAGTTGGTATGGTACTAAATAAACGCAATATTAATTTACTAATTAAATGATTGTACTTATCACGTAAGTTCCAAGAAGGTCACCACCATTACTGAACAGTACGAATGGTGAAATATTATTTGTAGATCTAGAATATAAAAATGAATCGCAAAATCTGTTGGTAAGCGCATAACTCAACAACGCCTACACCAATTTGGCCATTTTTTCTTTTAAATTTTTTGTTAAAATCCAAGGATGGTTTTTACGGCGAGAACAATTCGAATAATTTCCGGGAAAACCCTAAAGACAGCCATTTTCTAGAGCATAAAAGTTAGCATTGAGATTCAATCATTGTTATAGTTAAATAGTTGAATTCGAGATGGCGCGATGAAGTGCATCATTAGCAAATCTTTATATAATTATTTTCTTTAAAATAAAATTGCGAATCTTATTAATAGAATAGACACATACTATTATAGTAAGAGCCCGTGACGGCCAGACTTTCGTGCTTTTAACCTGCTTATTTTATAAAGAATTTTCCGTAAATTTTCCGTAAAAGAGATATTCGCAACTGAATTAAATCGTCAAAATTGATAAATTGCGATTTTAAGCACATTCAGTCGCGGTATCGAGAACAATGATGAAAATTATTAAATATTTGTTAAAATAAAATTACTTTACTGTGAAATTTTAATTTTTAAGCAATTTAACTTTTGCAACTATTATACACTTTCAATGCGTCTGGCAGGATAAATACAACTCACCAACACCCCTTTTTAATTGCAAGAGTAAATTACTAAAGTAGTAAAATTTGATGCAATTTTTAAAAAATATATAGGATTTTATGACGAATATATACTTTCATTGACTATTTATGTAGTGTACTATGTTTATTTATTGCTAAATTGATGAATATTTGCATTAAAATTGCATAATTTAGTTAATTTATTTTGAATTAATACATTCTAGCGACCTCTACATTTGAAGCTTTGAGTTATGTGTAAAAATTGCTATTCGTTTAGATAGGGTGGTGCATGCGCAGTTGCCTGTACGTGTGACACACGGACACTACTATTTAAGTGCGTGACCGTACACTGACTTATAGCCAATCACTGACTGCCTCATATGCACGCGACACTTTTTGATACACTTTGTACTTTCTTGGTGTACTCAAAAGTAACCCCAGATGGCGCAATAATGCATGTTTTTGCTAAAAATAATCCAGGGAGTGAAAGTCAGCGTGCCCAGTTGTTGTGCAGCCGGTACGCAACTTTTATTATTTCTATTTAAATGGATATTCGTGTTTCCCGTTGTAAATTCGTTATATCGCGTTATATTTGTTGGAATTTAGTGTTAATAGACGGGTTTTAGTCGCTAAATATTTATCGCGTGTGTAATCTTCGGAATTCAATATTTTGTGTGTTTACTACAGTTTCGCTTGTATCTGGGATCGCATGCCGTCGGACGCCAGTCGGCCATGTTGTGTGATTGTAAATAATATTTCGGAGTTGTGCGAACCATTTTTATCTTCTGCAGAACACGACGGGCGGCTGTTCTACCTGGTAAATATTATTATTTAAACAATTATGGCAAGTAAGACAATTTTTAAGGCAAAGTTTGGGTTCCTCCCAAACTCGGATTCCTTTGAACATTGTCCGAAATTGTATAACTAACGTTGTTTCTTGTTTATTTCAGTATCTACCCGCATTGGATTTACGGTGTTTGATACACTGGTGAGGGAAATTTTTCATCGTTATAGTATCTATTTTTCGAAGTTACGGTTTTCCTGCAATTAGAGAATGCATATCTTAAACTTCTATTTTACTCTAGGACCTATAGTTTTTCTGTAATTTGACTAAATGTGCACTTTACATTTTCTACAGAAAAATAGTATTTGTAAATTTAAAGTTTTTATTTCGGAAGTTGTTATAGAAGGTCTGTCTCCCTGAGCATTTTATTTTAATAAAATTTTACTCTTGAACTTCTAATGAGAGGTCACATTTTCCACAGAAAATTTAAATTTGGAAATTAAAAGTTTTTATTTCGAATGTTGCTATAGAAAGTCCCCCTGAGTATTTTATTTTCGTAAAATTTTTCTCTTGAACTGATAGTTTTCCCACAATTTGATAAAATATAAACACATTTTCCACCGAAAAATTAAATTTGGAAATTTAAAGTTTT